AACACTGCAGAAAGGCGACCCGCCAACAGAGCAGGTCGACGGCGTGCTAACGCTGCAGCAGAGCGGCAGTCCAGCATTGCCCCATAGAAGACAACAGTGTGCACGCTTGCAGGTACGCGCAGACGATTGGCCCGACTTGCGTTGCTGTGCATCCGTCAGCTGGTGTCTGCGCCTGACGAGCCACATTGACTTCAGGATACCAGCCCAAAGTCGCCTTCCCCATCGCGACCTCGACGATGTTCGCGTGCCTCCGCATAACTCGTCGAGCAGCTTACCCGGTCGACCTGGTCGACCACCAGGTGCTTCCGGTCGACCACCACTGCCTCTAGTCGACCACCAGGTGCCTCTGATCGACCACAGCTCCTGTCAAGCTGCTCCCTAGTCGACAGACCTCTTCCGTTGACCAGAACTGTCAGTGGTTGTCGCCGAGCTCTCCTCGTCGACCGCTGCTCACTTGTCAGGTCGACTGACTGCTCCGTTGACCTCCCGGTCGAACTGTAGGTCGACGGACTGCTCGATCGACCTCCCGGTTGAACTGCCCCTCCTGGTCAGCAGCCCACCCGTCGCACAGACCAGTCAGTTGCAGGTGTCGAGCTCCGTGGTCGATAGCAACACTACAGTGGTCCCCTGCAGCCTATCGAGCAGCTCTTCCACTGTGAGCGGTCGGCTGCTACTCCGGTACATCTGACCAAGTCGTTGGCGCTGCCCAAGTGAGGGCGGGGCCAACACTCCATTCCTGTTAGCAGCTGTCCCCTCCCTATCAAAACCTCTCATCCCCACTCATTCGTTCTATCATGGCCTTCTATCCGTCCAGGCTACCCACCTATCATTCTGCCATTTCCCCTCTCATACGTGAATGCATCCCCTCGTAATTTCTCACTCCCTACTGTTCTCTCTCACCTCTCTCACGAGGTGTACAATACGCTCGGTTTTGGTTCGGTTGAGCAACGTACGTGGCTCAACAGGACTTGGGTGCATCACAACTTGTGCATTGGTTTGGCGCGAGCGGGAAACGGTTACTTCAGGGTCATGTCAGAGTTGATTTCATCAAAGTTACCATTCGCGTGATGGGCTGCTAGTGTATAGTTACCATACGCGTTAAGCGAGTTACCAAACGTGTTATGTGAGTTAACAAACGCGTTAAGCTAGTTACCAAATGTGAAAAAATGAGGAATGAAGAAGAGAGGAGGGGCACTAGTAGCAGTTGGCATACATATAGGAAACCCTAATTGGGTTGTACTCGCTATAGAGTACCCCACTGCAGGCTAGACAATTATAACATTCTGACACACCCCCATAGCCAAAGTGGGGTGTAATCAGCACAATGAGCAAGCAGGCATAGAGCAGGAGTTCACTACAGGGAGCAAAGCTAGAGTTAATCACAGCGGGCAAGTGAGGAGGAGGAGGAACTGTGGAGGGAGAGAAGATGGGAGGCAACGACTGAAGCTGCAGAGGCACGGGCACAGGAGCGGCTGACTCAGTGGCTAGTGAAGCAAGGGCGACGGACTACTGGAGTAACTGGCTCCGCGGCTATAGACGAGCGGCAGGAGCAACGGACCCACTGGCGACTGGTGCAACAGGCTCACTGGCTACCGAAGCAAGGGCGACGGACTACAGGCGCTGTAGGCGACACGACAGCTACCTTCACACAACCTCCTCCAGCTGCCCCACCCCTCTCGACACACACCCCCTGCTCAAACCCTAGTTCTACTCCCACAGCACCCCCCTTTCACACACCCCCTGCTGCACCCTAGGTTCACTCACACCCCAACCCCTAGCACCACTCCGTCGACTCCCACACACCCACCCCCTTTAGCGGCAGCTGCAGCAGTGGGAGACAGAGGAGGAGGAGGAGCAGGGGAGACCACACACCCGCCACCCCCTACTCGCCACCCCCAAACCCTAACACAGGGCAGGGCCGGGCGACGGGTAGGGAGGTTACGGGGGGGGGGGGGGCCGACGCGCGGCCTCCCAGGGCGCCAAAACAGGAGGCAGAGGGGGCGACGCTCACCCCCCCCCCCCCCCCCCAGGTCGCCCCTCCCGTCGCCTGTCGAGGCGACCTGAGGGGGCCACGTGCAGCCCCCCAGGGAGCCGCGATAGGCGACGGGAAAAGAGGGGGGGGCGGTGCACGTGCCCCCGGTGCGCCGCGACAGGCGACGGAGCATGGCCGGGGCGGGACCGGGGCAGGGTCGAGGCAGGGCCGAAAGGGGCGGCGACGGGGCCGCAAGGGGCGGCGACGGGGCCGCTGGAGGCGACGACGGGGCCGATAGGGGCGGCGACGGGGCCGCTAGGGGCGGCGACGGGGCCGCTAGAGGCGGCGACGGGGCCGATAGGGGCGGCGACGGGGCCGCGAAGGGGCCGCGAGGGGCCTGGAAGGGCGGCGACGGGGCCGCTGGAGGCGGCGATGGGGCCGATAGGGGCGGCGACGGGGCCGCGAAGGGGCCGCGAGGGGCCTAGAAGGGCGGCGACGGGCCGCTAGGGGCGGCGACGGGGCCGCGAAGGGGCCGCGAGGGGCCTGAAAGGTCGGCGACGGGGTCGTTAGGGGCGGCGACGAGGCTGCGAAGGGGCCGCGAGGGGCCTGGAAGGGCGGCGACGGGGCCGTTAGGGGCGGCGACAGGGCCGCGAAGGGGGCCGCGAGGGGCCTGGAAGGGCGGCAACGGGGCCGCGAAGGGGCCGTGAGGGGCCGAGAAGGGCGGCGACGAGGCCGCTAAGGGTCGCGCGAGGGGCACGCCACGGGGCGTGCAGCACACAGAGTAGTAGCGGAAGCTAATGTTGGGTGGGCCCACAGGCCAGGAGCGTAGATGCTCTGATAGCATATGAAGAATGAGGAATGAAGAAGAAGAGGGATTGCACTAGCAGCAGTTGGCATACATATAGGAAACCCTAATCGGGTTGTACTCGCTATAGAGTACCCCACTGTAGGCTAGACAATTATAACATTCTGACACCAAACGCGTTAAGCGAGTTATCAAACGTGATGAAATCGTTACCGTACACGTTATAGTGCCCCATCTAAGTTACCATTGACATATTTTCCCTATTTTTCTAAGACGGAAGCATGAATTCTCTGGAGTTTTGATTAATATAGAATCATGTTATGCTCTCTCATTCTCTGGAGTTTTGTGATGAGTAGCAAGTCAACAATAGTCTCGGCTGGGCTAAACCTAGTCAGCAAGGGAGGAAGACTATCCTAAGCTGACTAGGCTTTTTATGTACCTACTGACTTGCCCATCGCGCCATAACTCGTAGCAAGCAACATCACGCTGACTTCACGATGCTGACTGCACACCAGCTCACAATAGTAGCAGGTGCAATCTGGATTTTTTTTTTTTTTTTTTTTTTTTTTTTTTTGTTCCACCAGCTGTCCAGATTTTTGAGGGGATGCGATCAAGGGATCCAGGCATATTCAGCATCTTTTTCCGATCTGGCTGTTTTAGAGTGATCGTAGAAAACCCCCGTGTCAGAATCCATGGCTATGTACCTGAAAGGAGGGTGTGCTCGTTCTTTCGTGTCCATTCTCGCCAATATTTAGAGTAGGGGCTCTGGAACGAGCTGGAGAGACCATAAGATGTGATCGATGGGCCAGAGTGATTTTTTAGGGTTTCCACTGACCCTCAGGGGGGGTCCAGCGCGTCAGTTTTACCGCTCCGTTCTGCCGCAAGACGTTTTTATACGGCACAAATTGGTGATCGAACTTCACCGTTTGATCGTGACGCAACGGCAAGAATACCTGCACAGAACGAGCAGGGATGAACGCGCTGGACACGCCCTCGATCAGGGTCATCCTTGGGCGAATCGGACTACTTTAGTAGAAAGGGTAGAAGTACCATGGATCCGGATACTTACTTTTTTTTTACGAGGAGGCCGGAGTCGTATACGAATAATTGCCCTCCATATACCACCCACCAACTTGTCCACGCATACGATGCACCTTATCCGGATACTGTACCTCTTTCGAGGTGGCCTCAACGCCGCAGCATGTCGCCGAGGTTGTCTCCGAAGCAAAGACTGCCGCAGGAATTTCGGAGCTTGCATGCTGGAGGAAGGTTCGCACGGTTTTTCCTAGGGACTATTAGCCATAGTGTTGTCATGATTGCCAATCCGGCTCAGGCGCTCGCTCAGGCTGAGCGCCTCATCAAAGGTGTAGTCTCGATTAGCTGCAGTGGTCTGACTTTGAAGGACCTGAATCGTGGGAGAAGGTGAGTTTGCGGTGCAGCGAAAGGCTCCCCCTGCTCTTCCTTCCTGCACTTCCTGCACTTCCTGCACTTCCTGCTCTTCCTGCTCTTCCTGCTCTTCCTGCTCTTCCTGCTCTTCCTGCTCTTCCCATTCCCATGCATCATCTTCCCCTGGCAGTGGCAACTATTGCATTTTGTTGATTTCGTCCAATGCAACTACCTTCCCACTAGTGGCGTGTCTCACCCACTCCGCATTTGACTTTGTTTTCCCTCTCCTACTAGACTTCTTAGCGCTCTCATCAATAGTACTGGTATTCGCGGCAGCGCAACACATACCCGAGATATTGTCTCTGGACCCACGTAGACGACGCAATGCCGCTGCCAAACCCAGCTCTGATGCAGCCGCGAGCATGGCTTGCGCTCGCCGCCGTGCTTTGGATCGTTGCTCCGTTCGTCTTCCCCACGTGCGATGCACAGCCGATCAAAGCTTTTCAAGGTAGCACCTCCTTGCACCCCTCAGTTCGTCACACAATTCTCTCGCTATTAGTACTAGCGTCTTACTAACAATGCACTGAGAATGCACTAGCTATCAGCATGTGGTTCAACCTTTTAGTGCAAAGTTTGCACTGCTGTAATGCATCTCGCCTCGCTTGCTCTTCCATCCCCACAGCTGGTTAAGTGTGCCTCACACTCACATCATCAGAGTTTCTTGGTGCAAGTTATACTTGTACCTCAGTAGCAAAGCAGGCATATAGTAGTACCTACTCATGATTACCTTTGTGCCTCTCTTTTCTCTCTCCTTGGCTGTCATGTCTCAACTTTCAGCGGTTTTTCTCAAAGATTGTCAAAAAGCATGGAATCAGACGTTGGTAGGCTGGGCTGCTGGTGCTGACTGCAGCACTGCTAAAGGGCTCACCTGTGAACATACAGGCATAATTACCGACATGTGAGTGTGTGTATGCTTCTCTTTGTGATGCCATTTTTTCAGGAATGATAACTGGACATCCTGTCATGCCATTATTATATGGCAGGGTTGCTTTTATATTATTTGATAACTTTTGTTTCCTATCCTCGCATCACTTGTGTCACGTCTCGACTTTCTATTCACCCACCCGCCCGCCCCCGTAGAGAATTGAACGAAGTGGTTCTTGGAGGGTCTATACCTGATAGCATCTCCTTACTCACTTCTCTTAGAAAGCTGTAAGAACCTCAGGGGAAACTATCAATTTGCTGTTCTTTTCGTGCACATTCATTCATTCATTAAAAATCTCGGCACTGGAAGCTTGGTACTGGACGTGTTTGGAACGTTTTTTATTGATGACAGTCGGAAATGCATGTTGCAGCGGCAATGTGACGTTGGCAACGAGCCTCTATCTTTGCTCCCGAGCTCCTTTCTCCTCCCTATGTTTGCCTCTTTTTTCGCCTCCAACACTCTCGCGACGCTCGAATGTATGCGTCTGTACTCGCTAGCAAGAATCCACTCCAAGCATTATCTTTCAACTGATACGACGTTACTACATCCCTGTGTTCACCATTTCATACAAAGGCGTGCAACATACAACCACTTTCCACCCCTTGTAACCAGAGCTTTGTCGGGTTGTGAGCTCACTGGGCCTATTCCAGCCGGGATTGGAAACCTCGTTTCATTGCTGTACCTGTAAGCTGAGATAGGTTGATGCTGGAAGAAATGGCTCGCTCGATTATGGTGGCTTTTCAAGAATGAGGGGAGGGTGTTGCAGTGTATGTGGTCATGTTCCTTGGTCGTAATAATGTGTCGTTGTTATCACGCTTGCCCATCATCGTTGCATCTCTAGTGCTCTCTTCCACGTTCCACCTGCTACACAATGTGCATATTTCTGTTCGTCCCACTTCTGATTACCCTGTTAGGTTCGACTAACTATCACTCGTTTCTATTCCATTTCTCTCACTGCATTTCTGCATGAGACTAACAGCATTGGCCATGTTCATTTCCCACCCCTGTGGCAGAAACGTGTGGAAGAACCAGCTTTCTGGGACTATTCCAGCTGGAATTAGAAACCTCAAAAGGCTGTCCTTGCTGTGAGTTGCTTGAAGTTGGCTGCTGCTCGCTTTAACGCCTACTTAGTACTTTTACCTTAACACTGCCTTCCACCATGCTCGCCTCATCACCCCCCCTGGTCAATTGTGTATTCTTTCTGTCCCTCCGGCCATCCCCCACCCTCCTCACGCAGTTATCTTCAAGACAATGTTTTGAGCGGCTCCATTCCAGACACCATCACTCTGCTTACTGAGCTAGACTCTTTGTAAGTAGGAAGCGCATACTGAAGTATCTTGCCCTGGTTCTTGCATCATGTATATTCACAAGGTCAACAGCCAAGATAAATGCATATATGATGTTCATGTTTGTTGTGTCTCTAAAGCTTTTCCTGCTGCTTCGCAAGCAAGCATGCTTGTCTGGCCTTTGAACAGCTATATGGTACACCTGGTGGTGATATGCTTCACCTGGTAGCGCAACAGCTTGTAGTACGCAATATTGCTTCTGGAAGGAAAAGCCTACACGCCAAACTCGTTCTTAAAAAAAATTGCAGAGTTTTTCTTTCAATCGTATCATCCTTCCTTCCTCTGCCACCAGGGATCTGTATGGTAACAAACTTACCGGACCTATTCCAGCTGAACTTGGAAACCTCGATTTATTAACACACTTGTAAGCCATGTACTAGGTGGTTCCCTTGCTCTTCCCAACATCCTCACCAGCCACATCTTCGCGCCCATCTCCTCCCTCGTTCCCTCCTCTTCTCTACCCTATTTGCCCCCATCCCGCATCTCCCTCACAGTTAGCTGGAAAATCTGTGCGTATCTTTCTTGATCTCTGCTCCGTTGTCTATAGGTCCCACAAAATGCTTTCCGAACCATCCTCGTCTCATGACCCCCTTGGGTCGCTTGTATGTGCTTGCTGTCCCTCTGGCCTATGTTTTTTTAGAATTCTCAATGGAGAATTCCCTCTGGAGAATTCTCAAAAAACATATGCTCACAAGCCTCATCTCTTCACTTCTACCGACCGACCTATCCACACAGGTATCTTTCGGACAACGCTTTGACGGGCTCCATTCCCAACAGCATCTCCTCGCTTATTAATCTCCAATATCTGTACGAAGCAAGCACCTTGTCTATTGTCTATGCCTCAATACGAAGCAACTTGTTTGAGCCTCGTGCTAAGCATGAGGGGTGGTAAGCACCTTGAGAGGGCTGCATATGGACTTTAACTTGTGTAAATTAGAAGAATGGCTGTGTTGCAGGCCAGAACATCCCTTGCCACAGTTTCTGTAACCAAAAGGACCGTTGATTGCTTTTATTGATTTCTAGGATTGAAATAAAACCCATTGCTCAACGCCATGCGGAGAGCAATGGCAACTCTGTTGATTTGCGAAGTCTCAAAACTGGTTTGTATCGTTGTTTTGCCAACATTTGGAACGTATAATAACCCTCTCTCCTCCTTCATTCTCCTCCTTCATTCCGGGCTGCTGCTTTTCTTCGCCTGTCAGGCATGTAGATGGGAATCACCTAAATGGAACCATTTTGCCTTCTCTAGGGGCTTTAACGAACCTGCAGGACCTGTAAGTATCATGGCAACAATTTTTGGATACCCTGGCTATGATTGGCTGGCTCGTGGACAACATTGAAAGAACCGTTTAGCTAGTTGCACTATTTACTCAGCTCTGTTTTACTGAGATCGTTGCATTGTCTAGGTCGTACACCTTGCCGATCAACACTTGTATTGAGCGGTGTTTTTTTCCACTTTCCTCCTTCCATCTCTTTCACCAGAATTCTGAGATATGAAGGATAATCAGATTACCGGCTTGTCCAAATGGAAATAAAAAACCTCTCGGACTCAAAGGATCTCTTGGTTTGGTGAAGTAGGCTGACCCATTTTGTTGGAACAGAGCACTCTTGTAGGAGAAGGAATAGCAGTAAATCAGTGACCTGCATTCGTTTGGATGGTACCGGTAATGTTCTTGCCATGTCTGTCTGTGGGTGAAGAACGATCGTCACGGTTACGAGGTGACTTCTGAGTCGACTCAAAAGCCATCTTGCCATGTCTGTCTGTGGGTGAAGAACGATCTTCACATTCATCCGTCCCGCCTCCGATTCGCCTTCCGTGTGTGCATCCATCCACAAGCTCCTTCTCGCCGTTTCCCTTCTCCACTGCAGAATTCTTCCAGTTTCATGCTTGTTGCCTTTCTCCCTCCTTATGTCCCACTTAGCCCCACCACTGTTCCCATTTTTATGCCAACTTTAAAGGTCAAGGTCCGTGCGGTGTGGCGGTGCCCATGACTTCCGCCCTTTGATTTGATCTCCCCTCTTTCCATTGCAGAGATGTCACGGGCACAAATCTCACGTGCCCACTTGACAGCACCGACTGTGGTACACCACAGAATCCGACCACAGCCTTTTGCCACACGTGTAAATCCTTTTGCAAGATGTGCGGCAAACCTGCAGGCAAGTGATTGAAACAAAGTTGTACCAGAATAGTACAATATTGATGTAAATATTCACAGGGCATGCAAGGCATGACACAAGGCAAGTCTAACCATGGGGAGCACCTCTTTTGCCTTGGAGAACCGAAGGCATGCGTTGAATCTAATTTTGAGGCGCCTCAAAATGCGTTGAATCATGGTACATTGTACGGGTTTGTTTGAGGCGCGTCAAAAGTCATGATACGGGTTCTTGTATTGCTCCGTTGCAAGTGATCCACCTCCTTTCTGATCCTTCCCTGTGCGAATTGATTGCTTGGCTTACTAGAATACTGCTCCACTGCACTGTCTTGAAATTTTAGAGTCGAATTAATAGTCACTTTGCTTTGCTCTTGGTCTGAACATTGCTCCACCTCACTTTTTTTTTGTTGGTAAGCGAATTCTTGTAATCCTGACAGATTGGTTCTATTCTATACTTGTGCAGTCTCGATCACAACGAACAGCAGCAGCAACAGCAGCAGCAACAGCAGCAGCAGCAGCAGCAGCAGCAGCAGCAGCAGCAGCAGCAGCAGCAGCAACAGCAACAGCAGCAGCAGCAGCAGCAGCAGCAGCAGCAGCGAGCCTACTTCACCAGCAGCATCTGGAGGTGGAGGTGGGATGTCAGTGGGAGTGATCATTGGCATTGCTGTTGCTGCTGTGGTCATTGTCCTGCTTCTGGGCGCCACTCTGCTCTACTTGAGGCACCACAAGCAGCAGCAGAAGAAGAAGCCAAAAGGTGGGGAATTGAAGCAATTAGAAGGAGTGCACTATGGATGACCTAAATGTCTCCTGTTTTGGTCAGGTCTTCAATGACCCATATATTGACCCAAACGACTTGAATCAGCCCCAATCTGGAGCAATTTTGTAAGTCATGTTGTCAGGGCAAACACAAGCCCAGCTCGAATGAAGTCAGCAGCGGAGTCGGCAGGAAGCCGACTCAACTATACCGACTTGACTTGTTCTCAACTCGGCATGTTCCTCCTTTCACCCCTCTGACGCCATGAGAAGACCTGGGGGGCAGCCTGGCAGCGTCTCATTGCACGGAGTACTCACTGGAAGAGGTCCTCACGGCCACCAATGACTGGTCGCAGGACCACCAGCTGGTCTCATGTGCCTCCTTTCACCCCTGGCATCCTGAGCAGGCACTGGCAGCAGCCTGGCAGCGTCTCATTGCATGGAGTACTCACTGGAAGAGGTCCTCACGGCCACCAATGACTGGTCTCAGGACCACCAGCCGGGTGCTTTTTGAGTCGGCTAGGTCTCATCTCTGGATGTGCCTCCTTTCACCCCCCTTTCACCCCACTGAGCAGACCTGGGGGGCAGCCTGGCAGCGTCCCATTGCACTGAGTACTCACTGGAGGAGGTCCTCACGGCCACCAATGACTGGTCTCAGGACCACCAGCTGGGCTCGGGTGCCTTTGGCGACGTGTACAAGGGCGTGTCTCCCCGTGATGGCACCACAGTGTGGGCTGTGAAGCGCGCCAAGCTCATAGACGTGGACTTCCAGAAGGAGGTAAGCGAGGCAATTTCGAGAACTATCCTTTGTGGCACCTTCAAGAATTTTTGTAGTCACATGTGAGAGCTGTCTTTTGAGTCACTTTTGAGAATCCTCTTTCGAGGTACTTTCAAGGATTCTTATTTTGCAACTTTTGAGAACTTACTTCTGAGTCACTTTTGAGCACACTCAAGCTCATATGCATTGACTTCCGGAAGGAGGTCAGTGAGTTATGCTGACATTGACTTTCCTCAAAAGTGATGCAGCTTGGTGTTGGCATTAAGGATGCCGCTTTAGGGATGGCATTTGTCGTTGCCTTGCCATTCTAGTTATAGATCTGTTTTTGAAGTCTTATCTAACGAGCTTTTGCAGGCACTAGTAAAAACACGCAGAAACTCCTTCGATTGCGAACCATTCTTGACTATTTCTTGCGTGCTCCACTTCTCAATCTGTTCCTTCTTCTTTGTGGCTCACGTTTTCCTCTGTAAAAACCAGATCAAGCAAATGGCCGACAAGAACCACCCCAACATTGTGAGGCTTCTTGGCTTTGCAATCGGAGGAGACCTAAGGACGCGGCCAGAGCAAGTACTCATCTATGAATACGTTCCCAATGGCGACCTTCACAAATGGATTGATCCAAGTATGTTCAGCTCTCCCATAGTGTGTAATGTGCCACTCACACGCTCTGCCACTCACACGCTCTGCCACTCACACGCTCTACCACTCACACGCTCTGCTTCCCATTTGCTTGGCCTCACATGCACTGCCACTCACATACGCTACACTGCCACTCACATACGCTACACTGCCACTCACACACGCTACACTGCCACTCATACTGTGCTGTGTATCCTTGCAGAGGAAGCCAGCCCTCTGACTCTGAAGCAGCGGCTGGACATTCTCATCGGCATGGCACGTGGCTTTGAGTATCTCCACGGCTTTGGGATTGTGCATCGCGACATCAAGCCTGCCAACGTCCTCATCACCGAAAACATGCAGGCAGGCTTGATTGTATTGCATCATGCATTGTTTTGTTCTATTCCCTAAGTTTCTGGTTCAATTAGAATCAAAGCCTTGGGAGAAATACTGATTGAAAATGGGGGCGTTCATGCATGAAACTCAAGTGTCGTTCAGTGGAGACGATGTTGATCAGTATTTAAAAAACCTCCGTGTTACAGTCTAGATCAGGCACTGCTACAACACACCTGCTATGGTTGGCATTGTCAAGTCTCTTGGTTTTTTTTTTTTTTTTTTTTTTTTTTTTTTCTCTCTGAATGCCCTTGTTCCGTGCAACAACCATTTGTTGAACCTCACCAACACATCCTTTCACTTTCCAATGCAAGGTCTGCCAAGGTAAACATTCTGTCATATATCCGCCCTTCATTCCCGCAGTCGTCACATGATACAATGTCTCTCAACGCACCCTCCAGGCCAAGATTGCAGACTTTGGGCTATTGAGGATGAGAGGGCAGCACAGTAGGCGACAGAGTGGTTCGAGCTGACTGGATGCAAACACAATACCATCGATCAAATCGCCCTGGTCTCATCGTAACACCACCTCATCCCACCCTTGTCTTGCCTATGGCGCCCCAACGCACCCTCCAGGCCAAGATTGCAGACTTTGGGCTGGTTAGGATGGGAGAGGGCACGACCGTGGGAACGACACGCATTATGGGCACACCAGGCTATGTGGATCCTATCTACTCCCGAACGTCCAAGGCGACTGCAGCCAGTGATGTGTACAGGTGAGGCAGGAGGCCTTGCAGACAAGGCCACACAAGGAGACACAGAAAGAGGGTCTTGCAGACAAGGCCTCATAGGGTTGAGCACTGGGCGGGCCGGGCCCGGCCCGGGCGGGCCCTGGCCCGCCTTCATGCTCATCCCTAAGGCCACACAAGGAGACACAGAAAGAAGGTCTTGCAGGTGATGCTGGCTGACGAGACAAGGCCTGATGGTTGTCTGGTCGTGTTCTTTGTGGGTGTGATGGGCGTGATGGACATAAAACTATGCTCGCTGGACTCAGTCAGCCATGTGGTGATCTGTCAAAATAGTTAGCAAGGTGACTTTTGAGTCGACTCAAAAGTCACCTCTGTCAACATAGTCAGCATCGTCCGCCTAGCCAAGTCAACATAGTCAGCATCGTCCGCCTTCGAATGAACATGTGTGTTGGCTTTCAGCTTTGAAGTTTGACTTTTGAGGTGGTTCGACTTTTCGATCTCAGAATCAGTGCCTTTGAACATGTGTGTTGTTTTTTCAGCTTTGGAGTACTCATGTTGGTGGTGCTCACCGGACAGGCCCCTATTTCAGAGACTGCGGGCAAGAGCCAGCAAATTACCCCATGGGTAATGTTTTTAGGTGTTCTCAGAGGGATTACTTTGGGTTTTTCTTTCGGTCAAGTGCTTACCATGTCCACCTTTCCACATAGTCCCGTGATTTCACATTCTTACAAGCAGTCTACGCGTGCCTTCCTTTCATACTATTTGATGTGTCGACTCGTCAACTCCCTCCTCCCATTTGTGAGCTCTCCCACCCCATCCCCTTCCGTCTGTCATTTCTTCCTTCCAGGCATCTGAGTGCCTGTCCTCGGGTGAGTTGGGGAGCCTCAAGGACCCCAATCTAGATGCCCCTGCGGATGCTGTGCTGCGTGTGGCTCAGCTCGCCCTCTCCTGCACCGGAGAGCGCACTGCAGGGCGCCCAAGCATGGCACAAATCGCCAACGAGCTGCAGGCTATCCGGGATGAAGTGGTGGGGAAGGAGGAGCTTAGCGCGGCTGTGAAGGTGGATAATCAGGTTCAGGAGATGAAGGACGCTTTCTCGGGTATCGAGAGCCTCGACGCAGAAATCCAGATGATTGGGGACAGCTTTGCTGAGGAAAATCCCGTGTGAAGCATGGTAAGAGGAAAGCTCTAAGCAGCCCACCTAAAAGTGATGGTGTTAAGTAGCGTTTTCCGATTGACTGTTGATGAATGTGGTGTGGATGATAAGTACTTCTATTAGAATAGCATTGGAGTGACTGGGTTCTGCACGGATTGATTTGCATGTGGATGGTACCGTATATGGAGAGGATGTTGTGCTGTTGGAGGTCATGGAACAACAACATAGACCACTTGTTGGATGATGTTGTGGTAAAGGTAGTTGGCCATTTGTTTCATGCTTTGTGGCTGATCAATACATTTCCGCCCCTTGAGCAGGGTTTGGGAGTAGTATTGGTAAGGCCTGCTCAAGGGGGTTTGGGTAGAGGAAGAGAATTGGAGAAAAGAGTGTTACCGTATGGCCCCGGATATAGGCGCCGGCCTATTACAGGCGCCGGCGCTTCTATCTGGAGCATGGCGCTTATGGCCGATCCTCGATTATAAGCGCCACCCCTTTTGTACCCTTCCTTATTATAAGCGCCACCCTCAATATTAACACTTTTTTTACCACCACAACAAAAGCAAACAACAACTATTGTCATCGTTATCTTCAACGAATACTACAAGTTAGTACAATTTTAGACTTAATCTGCTATTCTACCTGGGTACACAATTTTAGACTTAATCTGCTATTCTACCGGTACTACTCCTCGTCAGACTCGGGCTCCTGGCAGTTGTTGCCGAAGAATCCGTCGGCGATGATGCCGTCGTCTACATCCACTTCCGCCGTCAGTTGGCTCCGCCTGTGCGCCATGGCGAGGTGGTCCTCACTGCCGTCAAGCGCGTTGCTAATGCCGCAGGTGAGGAAGGCGCGCTTGACGAGGTCGGAGGGTACTGCTTTCCAGGCTTGTGAAATCCATCGAAGGACCACTTCTGGGGGGGGCTTCTTCAGATTCCCTGCACCGCAACAGAGACACCCGGGAAAGCCATGTCAGTGACCAAGGGTGAAAGGGGGATAAACATGCGTGTTTAACGGAAACAACGTACCTGCAGGTGTCAGTTGCTCTTGGCCCTCCTCCTGAAACCACTTCTGGTACTGCTGACGAACAGATGCTTTGAAGCTCTTGTTGATGGAGACGTCGAGTGGCTGAACCTCACCCGTACAACCCGACGGGATGACAGCAGGCACGCAGTTGATCTCGCGGAGCTTCTCCTTCACCCCCTCGGTAAGGTGGCCGCGGTAGGAATCCAGCACGAGCATAGAGCTCTTCGCACACCTGCCAAATCGGGGCTGCAAGAAGGGCTTGACACACTCCTCAAGCCAGCGGATGACGCCTTCTGCGTTCATCCACCCGTTTTCGTGGCAAGCCACGACCACATCTGCACACAGAAATGGCACTTAAACTTAGCGCGGCATGAGAAACGATACGGTAAGACAGCGGCAGTTGCTACTTATTACCAGGAGGAAAGTTGCCCTTCGGCAGCGTCTTCCGCTTGAAAAATACCCACGGCTTGAGCTTCGCCCCGTCCGCCGTGCACGCCAGCATCACGGTCACACGCTCCTTCTGGTAACCTGCACTCCGGATGGGCACCGACCATACGCCCGTCTGATCCACGGTCGTGGTGGCGGGCATCTCCAGCCAGAGCGGCGTCTGGTCAGCGTTGAGGATCCAGCATGGCTCGATGCCGCGCGCGCGACGCATGTGTCGGACAAAACGCCAGAATTTCTGGCACTGCTCCGCAAGATCTGTGAGATGGGGGAAAGCGGGCGGGATAGACGGCAGTTTAGTAAGTGAACTTGAAACTTAGACATAACGGCAAGGGGCGTAATCTTACGAGCGGCTGTTTTCTGAGCAACCCGCGTCTTCATGCGGACGCTCAGATTCCACCGCTTCCGAAACCGCTCCGACCATCTCTTACTCCCGCTCCACTTGACGTCCGGGTAGAGGATCTTCATGAACTCCCTCGACCACTCCCGCAGACGGCCGACCGACACGGCGGTTCCTTTGCGGCGCCAGTCCAGGAGCCGCTCGTACACCTTCAACTCCATGGAGCGGTACCACGAGGCCCGCCCGCGACCGTGCATGCGCTTCCGCCCGGAGTGTGCTTCTTTGAGAAACCCCGCTGCCACCTTCCAGTTGGCGAGACACTTCCGGTGAATCCCACACTCCCGAGCTAGTGCGCGCACCGACTTCGCCACATCCAGCATCGCGACGTACTTCAACTTCTCCGCAGCGGTGTAGCCTTTGCGCTTGTGATCGCTGATCTTGTGCCTGGGAGAGGGGGGGCGGGCATCACGGTTCTGGGTAGACGGGTGGGGTCGCTTGCGGTTAGCTGGTGGAAAGGAAGGTATCGGCAGTTCCTCGGGGAGCCCGTCACGTGACCAGTACTGGACACCGTCGTCGTCGTCGCCACCAGGTACGCCCTCAGGAAACACATCCTCAGCGGTGCCGCCCTGCGCGCCACCTTCCTCAGCCTCATCGCCGTCAGCACGGCTCGCTTCCTCGTCGCCGTCAGCACGGCTCGCTTCCTCGTCCTCAGCCACGTCGTCGTCAGCTCCGAGTGCAGATTCGTCCCACGTGGTGCAATCATCGGGCCGGCCCCAACGTGGTCCAGGGTAAGGTGCACCGGGTACCTCAACATCTTGGGCCTTGTTGCTTTCCGGTTCCTCCAGCCACTCGTCGAACGCAGTCGGGAGCAGGAGCGTGAGCACGGGCGGATCCCCTGTGTTGTGAGGACATCCCAGAATCGGAGGAGACGGAGGAACATGAGGAGCAGGAGGCGCAGGCGGCAAAGGAGGAGCAGGAGGAGCAGGCGGCGCAGGAGGCGATGGAGGCTGTGGTGGCTCTGGTGGTTCAGGTGGGACACGGGAGTACCATCCGTCGGCGTCGACTACGAAGGCGGGCCTACGCGCGGGCTTCTTTTTGAACAAGAAATGAGTGCCAGCGAATTCCGCCATGGCTTCCGCAGCATGGCGGGCGAGACCAAGAATCTGAATGAAAAAAGTGAAAGAGAAGGCGAAGAAATGAGGGTTTGGAGGGGACCCCTTCTGGTGTGCGGCTCGAGTTCCTCTTCAGGCATAGTCAGATCCCCCCTTGCCTAAACCCGCAGAGGAGGGAATCGCGGCACGTATCTGCTGCGCTGGCAGGAATATGCCACCCCCTTCTCGAAAGTTCGGGTGAAATGTGGCACCCTGGCAGCGCATGTAAACCCTATTGGGCCGCACGCCAGGATACACGTCATCGCTGGCAGGTGCGTTGCTCCAGGACAGATTCTGTGCGGTGGGAAATCGAGTCGCGGCAGTTTTCGCCGGAATTTCATGCACGATTCCATGCGCAACGTTCACAGTTGTGTTTGCCTTATTGTGGGCTTCACTTTAATACTTCGAAAACCAAAATTGGAATTTGACATTTTATAAGCGCCGGCGCTTATGGCCGTTCCTCAATTACAAGCGCCACCCCTAAAAAATCATTACTTATTATAAGCGCATATGCGCTTATATCCGGGGCCAAACGGTACATGCAAACATCAGAAAATAAAAAGGTGAGAACAGATGTAATAAAAATGATTCGTATGGAAGCATGCCGTGAGGGAGATAGCTTCAACACCTGCGATCGGCCCATCACAAGCCTTGATCTGGTAGAGGTGGATATGGGGGCTGGGGAAGGGGCAAAACAAGGAAAGGTCTGAATTAGAGTGGAACAGGGCACTTGTGGGAACACCTTACTTTTTAAGATCTTAACAGGCTGGTTGACAACAGAGTGAGAGTTGCAGCAGCAGGAACAGAGGTAGAACACACTCACCTGACCAAACATATGATTGTTCAGAATTCAACCCAGAGAGTTAGAGACAATCAAGCAACAGGTGCAGGAGCAGGAACAGAGGTAGAACACACTCACCTGACCAAACACCTGATTGTTCAGAATCCAAATGAGAGGGTTATGAGACCAGCAAGCAGCAGGTGCAGGAGTAGAAGTGGGAGCGAGGGCGGTTGTGGTGGCGGCAGCGGCAGCAGCAGAAACTGGCCCACCTTGCCATAGGCATGGAGAAAAATGAGATCCACATTAAGGCAAGTGCCTTGATCCGACGATGATGATGAAGATGATGATGATGATGATGATGATGATGATGATGATGATGATGATGATGATGATGATGATGATGATGATGATGATGATGATGATGATGATGATGATGATGATGATGATGATGATGATGATGATGATGATGATGATGATGATGATGAGGACGACGACGACGACGATGATGATGATGATGAGGAGGAGGAGGAGGAGGAGGAGGAGGAGGAGGAGGAGGAGGAGGAGGAGGAGGAGGAGGAGGAGGAGGAGGAGGAGGAAGAGGAGGAGGAGGGGGAGGAGGAGGAGGAGGAGGAGGAGGAGGAGGAGGAGGAGGAGGAGGAGGAGGAGGAGGAGGAGGAGGAGGAGGAAGAGGAGGAGGAGGAGGAGGAGGAGGAGGAGGAGGAGGAGGAGGAGGAGGAGGAGGAGGAGGAGGAGGAGGAGGAGGAGGAGGAGGTGGAGGAGGAGGAGGAGGAGGCAAGGGAGGAGAGGGATATAAGCAAGGAGAGGGGTGAGGAGCGGCAGCAGGAATGGCACAGAAGCAGGAGGGGGAGAGAGGGCCTAGGAGATAGGGGGCTCAGAGCACATATGCCTAGGAGGCAGGCCGGGAGGGAGAAATGGCATGGGGGAAATGGCATGGGGGAAATGGCATGGGGGAAATGGCATGGGGGAAATGGCATGGGGAAATGGCATGGGAGAAATGGCATGGGAGAAATGGCATGGGAGAAATGGCATGGGGGAAATGGCATGGGGGAAATGGCATGGGGGAAATGGCATGGGGAACATGAAAGCCAGAGAATGCGTTTCTTATAGTTTTCCTACCGTTTTCCACAACAAATTTCACAAAATAACATTGGCCCGCTGGTTCTCGCAAGATTGTTGGACCAATGGGAGAAGTGTCAAATGTCGTAGCCTGTAGTGAGGCATGTTATGTGGGGTACAGTTGTTAGGATTAAACTTATGTACCCCAACTCACAGTAATATAGACATCATTCCGTTTCTCACATGGTATCACCTAGGTTAGGATCCTGTTGGATCTCGTTCCTCCCACTTGACCCACTCACGCCCGTTGCGCCTAGCCTACCAAGCCTGTAGCGCCCTACCATTGCGCCCTTCCTGTCCCGTAGCGCCCGTCCCATCCCCTAGCGCCCGTCTCGTCCCCTAGCGCCCGTCTCGCCCGCCCCGTCCCCTCGCACCCGTCGCGCCCGTCCTGTCGTGTCTCCTATCGCGCGTCGCGCCTCCCTGCCCGTCCCGTATGTCATCTGTGCACATGCAAAAGACCAAAAGGGATTTACATCGCTGGCTGGGCTGGCCTTGGACGTTCGGGAGTAGAGATCCACATAGCCCGGTGTGCCCATGTTGCGAGTCATTCCGACAGTCGTGCCCTCTCCCATCCTCACCAGCCCAAATTCTGCAATCTTGGCCTGGTGGATATGTTGAGAGGCTTTGTAGCATGAGACAAATGTGAGAATTAAGAACACATAGATGTGGTGGCATGATGCATAGCATGGAGGGGATGTTTGCATCAGCAGATCTTGCATTGTAAAGGGAACGGATGTGTTAGTGAGGTTCAATAATGCTTGTTGCAAGTAATACGAAATAACAGAAAAGACCCAATAGACATGACCATGCGAAATCAGCAGGTGTAATGTACAAATGCCTGATCGTCTACACCTTAACACGCGAGTTAATCAAGATACAAATGAACTTGCTCCACTGAGCGACATTTGAGTTCTATACCTCATTTATGCGCGCTCCCGGTTTTATTCAATTCCTCACCCACGGTTCTGACTCTGATTGCACAGAAAAACTTTGGGAATGGAACAAAACGCCAAGCCATTCCACCCTAATGTCAACGAAAAAGCCAAGCTTGCTTGCATGCGGTCGGTGATGAGGACGTTGGCAGGCTTCAGCTTGCCTGCATGCTGTCGGTGCTGCAAAGCCATGGAGGCACTCAACGCCCTGTGCCATGCCAATGAGAATGTCCAGCCGCTGCTTCAGATTCAGAAGGCAGGCTGCCTCCGCAAGGAAAAATTTGGCAAAATGAGTGGCCGACCGGCAATTCGAGTCGTGACTAGACTTGTAAACTTGCATGCTTGCCTAGGTTCATAACTTTAAAACCTTTCTTTTCATTCACTTACCGTACTACCCCAAAGGCAAGCAAACAACTGGAAATAGCTGCACTAGCATAGTCTGGTCATCTAGAGTGGACTTCTTCTGGTTGCTTTATGCTTTTGCCTCAAGTAAAGCAGAGTGGTTCCCAGAAGCAGGAGAATGACCACAGCAGCAACAGCAATGCCAACTCCCCCACCGACACTCCACCTCCACTTCCAGATGCTGCTGGTGAAGTAGACTCGCTGCTGCTGCTGCTGCTGCTGCCACTGCCGTTGGTGCTGTTGCTGCTGTCGTTGGTGCTGTTGCTGCTGCCATTGCTTCCGTTGCTGCTGCCACTGGTGCTGTTGCTGCTGCCGTTGGTGATGTTGCTGCTGCCGTTGGTGCTGTTGCTGCTTCCATTGGTGCTGTTTCCGCTACCATTGGTGCTGTTACTGCTGCCATTGGTGCTGTTGCTGCTGCCGTTGGTGCTGTTACTGCTGCCATTGGTGCTGTTGCTGGTTCCATTGGTGCTGTTGCTGCTGCCGTTGGTGTTGTTGCTGCTGCTGTTGGTGCTGTTGCTGCTGCTGTTGGTGCTGTTGCTGCTGCTGTTGGTGCTGTTGCTGCTGCCATTGGTGCTGTTGCTGGTTCCGTTGGTGCTGTTGCTGCTGCCGTTGGTGTTGTTGCTGCTGCTGTTGGTGCTGTTGCTGCTGCTGTTGGTGTTGTTGCTGCTGCTGTTGGTGCTGTTGCTGCTGCCATTGGTGCTGTTGCTGCTGCTGTTCGTCCTGATTGGGCCTGCACAAGCATAGAACCACTCTGTGAAAATTACAGCAAGCTGTTTACGACAAAAAGCTTCAAAACAGTGATAAGGGACAGTGTTCAAATCGTGAGCACAGAGCAACCAAGCAATACCACTTGCTTTAATCACTTGCCTGCAGGTTTGCCGCAAGTCTTGCAAAATGATTTACACGTCTGGCAAAAGGCTGTACTCGGATATTGTGTTGTGCCACAGTGGGTGTTGTCAAGTGGGCACGTGAGGTTTGTCTCGATGATGTTGCTGCAATAGGGAAGGGGGGAGATGGACACAGCCGCACGGACCTCGTCATTAGAGCTTAGCGTGAAAATGGGAACAGTTGTGGGGCTAAGTGGGAGATAACAAGGGATAAACGGGACAAACAACCGACTGGAAGGATTTTCCAGTGGAGACGGGAAAAGGCGAGAACAAGCACGTGGGTGGAGGAACACAAGGAAGGCGCTTGGGAGGGGGGAGATGAAGACGGTACCACAAGGGTGCTCCCTACGGATAAACATGCCACAAACATTGCCAGTACCATCCAAATAAATGAAGGTAACTGCTTTTCTGGTGTTTCTCCTACAAGAGTGCTCTAATCAAACACAGTCGGTCAGCCTCCTTTACGAACAAGAAATTTTCTAATGAAACAGACCTGATCAGGTAGCAAGTCATGGCTGGGATATCCTGGTGCCGTTGCCATGACACTTACAGGTACCGCAAATTGAGTAAGGCCCCTAGAGAGGACGGGATGGTTCCGTTCAAGTGATTCCTATTTAGACGCCTGTTAGAAGATGAAGAACAACAGCCCATGATGAAGGAGAAGGAGAATGAAGGAGGGAATGTCATGCGTTCTACATGCTGGCCAATCATTTCAATGGCATTTGGTTACAGGAACAACAGTGGCATGGGGTGTTGTGACCTGCAACACAACCATCCCTTTGAATGCAAGTTGAACTCCCCAAGCAACCCACTCAAGGTCCTTACCACTCCTCTCGTGCTTAGCACGATGCCAAAACAAGTTGCTTCGTATTGAAGCACAGACAATAGACAAGGTGCTTCGTACATTTCAGTAAGATCAGCAAGTGAGGAGATGCTGCTGGGAATGGAGCCCGTCAAAACGTTGTTCGAGAGATCCCTGTGTGTGTGGGTAGGTAGGTTGGTAGAAGTGAAAGGATGAGTCTGGTGGGCATGGCTAGAAGGACAGCAAGCACACACAAACGATATTGATAAATCAAAGTTGTTTAGGTAGTGCAACCAGCCATACGGTTCTTTCAGTGTTGTCAACCCCAAAGCCAATCATGGCTTTGCTATTCAAAGTTTGTTGCTATGATGCTTAAAAGACCCTCCAAGTCGAGTGAGGCTTCTAGAGAGGACGGAATAGTTCCATTCAAGTGATTCTCATTAAGACGCCTGACGAACAATTAAGAACAACAGCCCGGGATGAACGAGAAGGAGAATGAAGAGGGAGGGAGGGTTATGCGTTCAAAATGCTGGCTAATCATGCCAATAAATTATGCTTCAGCCCCGGGAATGAGCAGAAGCAATCAGTGGTGTTTTTGGTTGCAAAAAACAATCATGGCATCAGTTGTTGAGGCTGGCAACACAACCATTCCTTGAACACAAGTTGAAGTTCTTAAGCAGCCCCTTCAAGGTACTTACCACTCCTCTCAAGCTTAGCACGAGGCCTAAACAAGTTGCTTCGTATTGTGGCATAGGCAATAGAGAAGGTGCTTCCTACAGATAAGTGAGAAAAGCAATTGAGGAGATGCTGTTGGGAATGGAGCCCGTCAAAGCGTTGTACGAGAGATCCCTGTGTGTGTGAGCAGGTAGGTTGGTAGAAGTGAAAGGATGAGTCTGGTGGGCATGGCTAGAAGGACAGCAATACCTGTGCAACGAGTCGAGTTACTCGCTCGGACTCGGCCGAGTTACTCGTTTGGGTGCGAGAAACGAGTTTCGTTTTTTGTAAAATTTACTCGGCCAAGTCGAGCCGAGTATTACTCGCCGAGTTTTTTTTTGCTCGACGAGTACTTGCTTGCTTTTTGGCGAGCATTTAGGAAACTCGCCGAGCATTTTAAGCTCGATGAGTACCAAATAACTCGTCTCGTTACCCGAACCGATAACATTGCGGTTTGGTTGGGTTGAAATTTTCCTCCCGCCAATTTTGTTGATTACAGAAATACATTTCTGTAAATCAATCTGCCGATTTAAGGTTATGGTTCAGGTTTTTTAAGGTGCAGCTGAATTGAGCGGCGAGTCTGGTACAATTGAGGTAAAGTCAAGGCTGGTCTCGACCAATAGGAATGGCTGGTGGTGTTCAAAAGAGTGAGTTTGACTTTTTGTTTTTGAGCGAACTGATTTGGTGGTTCTGAGTGGCTCCTGTTCGAAATGACAGTTGCTCATGAGTTCGAGAGTGTAGCTGCTCCCATCTCCACTGTTCGAGGAGCAGGATTGGTTCCTACTCGCGCATCGTATTCATTAGCGTGTTCATAGCGTGTTCTTTAGCGCGTTCATTAGCACGTTCATTAGCGTGTTATGTATCGCGAGCGTCATATGCCCACAATTCGTTTTTCAGCGCAGGTGGCGAGATCGGCGAGATGTTCGAGTGAGTTATGTTACTCACGTTTTGAACAGCTCTGACAGTTCGGATCAACAGTGCGTTCGGAGCGAGACGCACGTGGCGAGCAGCAGTTGGGTGATGGAAAGCTCTGCTGATCGCCACTGACATTTCCCCTCGTGCAGAATTTGAACGGTCTTTATCGCAACCGTTTGCAGATGGCGGGAAGAGTAAAGTTCGAATCGGCACCATTGGAGTTATTCGCGCTCGACTTTTGAATTGCTTCAGCGACGAATCGGGAGCCCGCCGAGTTACAAAATAAAACAGGGAGGGAAACGCGAAAGTGTTCGCGTTGCGAGAAACGAGACTGCAAACTTGACGAATAGAGTAAGGTAGAATAGAAAGCAATAGAGCTAGTACATAACAGTGTGTTCTTGTTGTTCTAAAACATAACTTTAGTGGATTTCTTCCTCCCGTGCCTGCTGAATCAATGCTGCATGCATTAAGAAGTTTTGACAACGCCTAGACGGAACACCTGCTGCGACAACCAAGCTAGTGTTGCAAGTCTCTCTCTACATACTCGGACCCTTGGATAGGGGCTGACGTTGGTCAGGCACCCGAGGACCCTTGGAGGTGACCCCGAGGAGAGCACTGGCAGCGTTAGAAGTGGCCAGGCTAGTGTGTTTTAAGACTAACAAATTTAGTCAGCCAGTTTTCAGATCTGATGGGTTCATGCACGCACCTTTCCATCAGTTCTCCCTCCCGCCATTCCAGACAACAACCTTTCAGATCTGATGGCTTTCATTTGGATCACACACGTACCGTTCCCTCAGTACTCCCTCCCGTCACTTCGTCTACGCGACCGCTAAGACCTGAGCACGAAACAATGTCGCCTACTATTCTAAGGGACGAGCTCGTCCACATCCGTAGGACATTGACGTAGCATTGTAGACGCGATCGACCGTCAAACTTACCTAGACATCGCGATACATGTTGTAGGGTTGACTCGGCCTAGGACGTTTAGATTAGGAGGTCAACTTTACCTTGATAGGATGGCGCGAACAAAGCAGGGCGTCTCTAAGATCAACAAAGCGCCGGCTGCAGCAGGTCGCGGTCTCGGTGGTGCGCGTGGTAAAGATATAGCTAATGGTGGGGAGAAGAAGCAAATCGGGATGACACCTTTAGAGCTCTGCCAACTGAAAGTGGCCTCAGCGGAGTTTCATCGTGAGCAACTTTTAGAGGCGGTTGGAGGAGGCAAGAAGGTAGACAAACGTCATGGCGAAGGGAGTTCTGGGGTAAATCGCGACACTCATTGTGATGATAATGTGGAGGAGGGGTTGATGGAGAGGATCGCGAACGGCACGGTGGTGCAGTAGGGGACGATGGCGATGATGACGGTGGTGCTCGCGCGGATGGTGACGAGGATGAGGCGGATGAGGAGATGGTGGCGGCCGACGAAGAGAAGGACGAGGAAGCGGAGGGGGATGCCGAGGAGGAAGAGGAGGGGGATGCCGAGGAGGAAGAGGAGGGGGATGCCGAGGAGGAAGAGGAGGGGGATGCCGATGAGGAAGAGGAGGGGGATGCCGAGGAGGAAGAGGGGGATTCGGAGGAGGGGAGCGGTGACGACTCCGAGGAGGAGGTGTACACCGGTGACGGAGAGGAGGCGGAGGACGACAACGCTGAGGACTACGACGATTTGGAAGAGGAAGGGATGGAGGATACAGAGGGAGATGGGGGGGAGAGAGCTAAAAAGAGGAGACGGGGTGGAAATGGGAAGGGTAAGAAGGCAGCAGGCGGTCGAGGTGGGGGGGGGAAAGGGGGCGGCCGGGGGAAAGGGGGTGGGCGAGGGAGAGGGAGGGGGCGTGGTAGTTCCGGTGTTCGAGGGGGAGGGCAGATTCGGAGGGAAGACACTTCCGAGGATGGTGTTGCCACCCCATTCGTGCACTCTAATGCCACACCACCCAAGCCCAAGGTTCTAACGGGGTACGTCACCCGATGTTTTGAGAAGATTCCTGACCATCCGAAGGAGAAGCGTCGATGTCGCAAGTGCAATATGGAGATCTCCTTTGCCGGAACCAACTGCACGACCGGCAGGACTCACATGCAAGGGCAGCACCTCAACCACTGGATCATATGGTTGCGGAAGTTCCATGGTGGGGAGGTGGGCCAAAACGACCACGTTTCTTCGTATTGAGGCATAGACAATAGACAAGGTACTTCATACAGAACAGCGAGGCTAGAAAGCGAAAAGATGCTGTTGGGAATGGAGCCCGTCAAAGAGTTGTTCGAGAGTTCCCTGTACGTGTGGGTAAGTAGGTCGGCGAAAGTGAAGAGATGAGACTGGTGGGCATGGCCAGAGGGACAACAAGCACACACAAGCGTTATTGATGAAACAAAGCTGATTAGGAAGTGAAAATAGCCATAAGGTTCTCTCAATGCTGCCAACCCCAAAGCCAATCATGGCTGGGATATCCAGAGATTGTTGCCAAGACATTTACATGCTCGAGAATTCAAGTAAGGGCCATAGAGAGGATGGAATGGTTCCATTCAAGTGATTCCCATTGAGATGCCTCTCAGATGATTAAGAACAACAGCCGGGAATAAAGGAGAAGGAGAATGAAGAGGGAGGGAGGGTCATTCGTTTTCAATGCTTGCTAATAATATCAGTGGATCCGATTTTCAGCCTCGGAAATGAACAGAAGCAATCACTGGTGCTTTTGGTTACAAAAACAATTGTGGCATTAGTTGTTGAGGATGGCAACACAACCATCCCCTTTAACGCAAGTTGAAGTGCTTAAACAGCCAATTGAAGGTACTTATCACTCCTCTCAAGCTTAGCACAAGGCCTAAGAAAGTTGCTCCGTTTTGAGGCGTAGAGAATCGACAAAGGGCTTCATACAGATAACGGAGATCAACAAGTGAGGAGATGCTGTTGGGAATGGAACCCGTGAAGGCGTTGTTCGAGAGATACCTGTGTGTGTGGGTAAGTAGGTGGTTGAAGTGAAGAGATGAGACTTGTGGGCATGGCCAGAGGGAGAGGAAGCACACACAAGCGACATTGATGAAACGGAGCTTGTTAGGTAGTTTCAATATTGTCAACCCAAAACCAATCATGGCTGAGGTATCCAAAGTTTCTTGCCATGATACTTACAAGTCCATCAAGCCGTATACGTTCCCTAGAGAAGATGGGATGGTCCCGTTCAAGTAATTCCTGTCTAGACACCTGGCGGGCGATGGAGAACAATAGCCCGGGATGAAGGAAAATGAGAATGAAGACGGAGGGAGAGCCATGCGTTCCAAATGCTGGCCAATTATTGCAATAGAGTTTAATGAACAGAAGCAGTCAATGGTCATTGCGGTCACCGAAACAGTAATATCAATCAGGGTACTATGACCGGGAACTCAGCAGTCCCTTTGAACACATGTTTATGTCCCCATGCAACCAACTCAAGGTCATTATCACTCCTCTCATCTCATGCTTAACTTGAGGCCAAAGCAAGTTGGTTTGTATTGAAGCATAAACGATCGAGAAGGCGCTTCATACAGAGAAACTAGATCAGGTGAGAAGATGCTGCTGGGTATGGAACCCGTCAAAGCGTTGTTCGATAGTTCTCTGTGGGAAAGTAGGCAGGTTAGCAGAAGTGAAGAAATAAGACTTGTGGGCATGGCCAGAAGGGACAGGATGCATATGCAAGCGATATTGATGATGAGACAGAGCTGTTTCGGTGCAACTAGCCGTACAAAAATCTCAATTCTGCCGACCCGAAAGCCAATCACGGCTGGGATATCCAATGTTTGTTGTTATGCTACTTACATAACATTTAAGTTGAGAAAGGACGGAATGGTTCCATCCAAGTGATTCCCAGTCATACGCCTGACAGATAATGGTGAACAGCAGCCCAGGATGAAGGAGAAGGAAAAAGTAGAGGGAGGGAGAGCCATACGTTTTGAATGCTAGCCAATCATAGCAATAGAGTTTATTTTAATCCTGTAAATAAACAGAAGCAATTGACGATCCTTTCGGGAGAAATAACTCTGGCACGGGATGCTGTGACCAGCAACACAACCATCCCTTTGAATGCAAGTTTGAAGTCCCTAAGCAGCCTGCTCAAGGTCATTACCACTCCTCTCATTCTTTACATAAAGCCTAAACAAGTGGATTCATATTGAGGCATAGACAAATGACAAGATGCTTCGTTCGTACAGAGCATCGAGAGCAGTAAGTGAAGACATGCCATTGGGAATGGAGCCCGTCAACTTGTTGTACGTGAGATACCTGTGTGTGTATGTAGTTAGGTTGGTAGAAGTGAGGAGATGGGACTTGTGGGCATGGCCAGAGGGACAGCAAGCACACAAGCCACCAAGGGAGTGATGGGTTGAGGATGGTTGTGAAGCATTTTGTGGGGCATAGGGATGAGCAAAGGGCGAACACGAACATGTTCGTCTTCGCCCCTTGTCGAACACCCTCTTTTGCCGAACCGAACAGTGTTCGGTTCGGCGAACAGTTTAGGAAAAAACAGGTGTTCGCTGTTCGCCTGTGGAGGCGTGTTCGGGCGAACCTCGAACACTGTTCGTGTTCGTCGCGGGCAAATTTCAGCAGCGGCCCGAACACGAACGTGTTCGGGCGAACATCGAACACTGTTCGGCGAACGATTTGAGCTAAAAAACAAAACCTGTTCGGTTCGCCTCGAACACGTTCGAGGCGAACCGAACAGGTGTTCGCCACCTTGCTCATCCCTAGTGGGGCACATAAGAGAATGAGGTGGAAGGAGATTGGGGAAAATCAGCATAGATTTTGCCGCGGGCTGTGAGGGAGAAGAGGCGGGAACGAGGAGAACATGGAATTGACTTGGAGGATGCTGGGGTGGACAATGAAGATGCAAAGGATGCCATCTTGCCTCGTATCATCAATAATCATTTGCCCAATCATTGGAAGAGTTATTCAGACGAAAACATATTGCCTTTCTTTTTTCAGAAAGCAGCATTCAATACACGCAGTATCAGTCTATAAAAACAGCCTAGTATTGTGGCTTACAAGTAGTTTAATGTGATGAGGTTTCCCAATCCAGCGGGAATAGGTCTGGTAAGATTATTTTGCAACAGATCTTTGGTGGCAGAGGAAGGAACTATGACAAGACTCAAAAGATAGCTCTGCGAATCTTATGAAGTACAAGCTACTCATTCAACTGGGCTACTGATTCAACTCCTACTCATTAGCTGCTCAGTTGCCAAATAGACAAGCATATCTTTCGACTGGGCAGAAAGATATCTAGAGACACAACGAGTTGATCACATGAGCATAAGTGATGAATAACCTTGGCAGATCATTCAGTTTGGGCTCTTACAGGAAATTTAGGTTAGTAAGCATGCTCATGGTGGCTGGTATAGAGCCGGTCAAGGCATTGTATTGGAGAGAACTGCATGAGATTAGTGGGGATGGCCAGAGGGACAGCAAGCATACACACACAAGTGATCCACAGGGGTGATGATGCGAGCATGGCAGGAGGCATAAATTGGCAACAGAGAAAAACGAGCTGCAGGGTGGGGGGGGTGTGGCTTTAAGTAAGCAGCGCGTACGTGGAAAAGATGAAGCACATTGTTTTTTTTTTCAGCAAATTGTGGGTCCCAGTAGCAGCAAAATTTTAGCAACTCACAGCCAGGACAATTTGTTGAGGTTTCCAATTCCAACCGGAATAGGCCCAGAAAGCTTATTGTCGTCAAAATTTCTGGCACAAGGGTAGGAATTGGACATAATAAATGGTTAGTCTCATGCATAATTCAGTTAAAGAAATGAAGTAGAATGAGTGGTTAGACCAACCCAACAGGGAATTCAGAAGTGGGACGAACAGAAAGATGCACATTGTGTAGCGGGTGGAAGGTGGAAAAAGAGCACTAGAGACACAAGGATGATGAGCAAAGGTGAGAGCAATGACAAATTATTATGATCCTGGCACATGACTAGGGATGAGCAAGGGGCGAGTTCGCGTTCGCCCCTGCACGAACACCATTCGGTCCACCGAACACCTTCTGGAAAAAAAGGTGTTTGGTGTTCGCCCTCTAAGGCCAACACCTTGCTTGCATTGGAGAACACGAACGTGTTCGTGGCAAGCACGTTCGTGTTCGCCCAGGGACAACCTTCACGACAGCCACACATGGCAAACATGGAAATTGGCCCTCCCAGATGTTTGGTAGGGGTGTTACGGGTGTTGTGGTGGAGTACTATGATGTTCTATTACTCCACTGTGTACCCTAAAATGTTCTATGATGGTAGTGATGCTCTTATTACTCCCAAGTAAGGACACTAGTGGGCTTTAGGGGGCTGGCGCTAAGGTTGCAAACTGTTTGAGCTCCAAAAATGAGCTCAAACACATTGACCCGCGACTGAAACATTGGTCGCGGGTCATTTCATCGACGAACACTAATGTGTTCGTCGACGCCCCGAGTCGAACACGAACGCGTTCGTGTTGGACGTGGCTCGGCCAGCAGTAGGTGGCGAACACCGAACGTGTTGGGGCGAACATCAAACACGTTCGCCATGAACATTTTAAGCCAAAAAAGGGACTTCGAGGCGAACCAAACAGGTGTTCGTTTATGTGCTCAAGCCTACACATGACCACATACACTGCACTGCGCCACCCTTCTTTTCCTGAAAGGCCACCATATTTGAGCTAACCATGTCCTTGCAGCATCACCCTATCTCAGCTTACATGTACTCTAGTGAAGCAAGGTTTCCAATCCCGGCAGGAATAGGCCCAGAAAGACTGTTCGACTTCAAGTTTCTGGCACAAGGGTGGGAATTGAACATAACAAATGCTTAGTCTCATGCAGAATGCAGTCAGAGAAATAAAGTAATATAAGCAGTTAGTCCATCCTAATAGGGAAATCAGAAGTGGGACAAACAGAAAGATGCACATTGTGTAGCGGGTGGAAGGTGGAAAGAGAGCACTAGAGACGCAAGGATGATGCATAAGCATGAGAGCAATGACACTGATTACGATCCAGGCACATGACCACAGGCACTCCAACACCCTTTCCTTTCTGAAAGGCCACCATATTTGAGCCAACCAAGTGCTTGATACATCACCCTATCTCAGCTTACAGGTACTCCAATGAAACCAGACTTCCAATCCCGGATGGAATAGGTCCATTGAGCTCACAAGATGTCATAGATCTGGTTTCATGGGATGAAAAATGGTTAT